GGAGACATTAAAGGATATGGCGACTAACCGATAGCAGTGGCGCTCTTGTTGTCATTTCTTAACAAGGCAGAATGCTTGAAAAAAGGTATGCATGGACACAGATTGTGTGCTCTGCGTTGAACATAGAGGTTCTTTTTATTTGCTTCCCTCCAAGTAGACCCAATCCCTCTCCATCTTGTGCTTTATCATTTGTTTTGTGTACATTGTGAGCTTGGCAGCGATCAGTGAAGCTCACTTCACTGTATCTCGCTGTACGATGATGATGATGATGATGTTGAGTTCAAGTCACTATCACCGGCCTGCTTTGGACCCTAGGCCTCGAGGTTTGAACTTCGCCATCAGCTCCCCAATTTGGTGCTAGCTTCTCTGTTGCCCTGCTCAATGCCGCGTTTAATCCAGCGAAGTCTTATGCCGCTCACCACTCCAGGTCCCGGGTCTCAGGTTGTCGGTTTCCAAGAGTGAACAACAGGTCATGGTGACTGTGGGGTGTATCTAGTTTGCTGTTTGTGATTCCATGATTTGGTTCAGGGCAATATTGACTTTTATTTGCTTCTTATTGGCCAACTGAAGCCAGAGGGAGAAGAGTTAGAAACTGAAGTGAACCAGAATAAACCACAGCGGCATAAGCTGTTTGAAAGTTTATTTTAAATTCCGACGATCACCTGAGTAGGACAAAAAGAAAGCAATATGCGATTTTCGTACGGTAAATACAACTGAAAGATTGTCCCCTTAAATTTTCATTTTTGCTTACTCGGTCTCCTTTCACTTTCGGTTATCCGCTTTCTATCCACAACATTCTCTGGGGTGTGCAACCCTACATTATCTGCTTCAAACTGATGATATATACATATTATATTAAAAAGAAAATAGTTTGACGGGAAATTGTAGGCGACATATACCAAGGTAGCTTTCTGTCAAACAGTCGAGTAGCAAAACAGCCTACTATAGATTGCTCATCGCATTAGTGCTGTTCGACACTCCGGTTATGGAGCCTGTTAAGCGCACGGCTTTAGATAGGAGAGGCAAAGCGTGCAAGAAATCGTGCCTATGTGAGTAACGAACCGTTTTTCTACTTCCTATACGACGTTTGTCTGTTCACCGAAGAGGGAAATACGTCAGTAGGTGTGTCGCCGTATTGGCTACCTCTTGCACGGCCTGTTCTTGTTTAAAATACATTGAAATGACTGTCTTCATAGCGGTGTTCTACGGTTGGGCTCAATTTGATGTATAAGCACTTTTGGCCTTATTTCCGATGTTTTCCTTTTATCATCCTGATGTTATCGTACAATGCGAATACACGCCTACAGATTTTTGTTCTAATGGGTTGCTGTGATATTTTTTCTTGCTTAGGTGCTCTTAATGACAGCCAATCGGGTCAAACCAACTAGACCTGTTAATTTCCACCATGGACGTACCTAATGTACTTCATGAAAAATACTATGCCGATTTTGCTCCGACGAAGTCCGCTCAGGCGATGCACAAGGCTGGGTCTCAGCTTTTTTGCTCTGAAGATTTAATCGTCAAAGGGAAATTGGGGAACGGGTACTTTGCTTCTGTGTTTTTGGTTCTCCATCATCCGACAAATCAGCTGATGGCAATGAAATTAACCAACGAAGCATCAGTACAGCGGCGGGAAATGGAGCTTCTCAGCTCTTTGAACCACGAGAATGTGATCAAGTGAGTTCCACTCGGCTTTCCTAATTGCTTCGTTACATGCGGTTTTTAAAATTATCATTCCACTTACAACTGAAGATAGATTCTTACATATTTTATCAGTTTTCAGTTTCAGTTTGCAAATCCATGTATCACGCACTTCTGGCTTTGGTTTTCGCCGGTGTATTCTTCTACCCATTTGGTTGAAGGGGTGAACGAAGATTAGAATGCTGAGTCCATCACGAAGAGGCTGCACATTGACGTCATCCATTGCATTGAGCGTGGTGGGTAGTGATAAACGGGCTACCGTTCAAACACCCCAACCTTCGTTTGACTGTTTGTCTTCCGTATACAACCCTCTCCCTTTATCCCTTTTACCGACTCTTAGTAATCCCTCAGACAACTTTCTCGTTACTCACCAAAGTTTGTTGCTAAGTAGTGCTGAAAGTAGTTTACCACAAAACATATTGCCAACTCCGAAGCCTCGTCAATCACTTAGTCTCAGGGCGTTCAACATGAGAACTCTGCTGTAGATAGGTCAAAAAGTTTGTCTGGCGCGTACGATGGACTCTTTGGCGATTGATATCGGTTTTGTATCTGAGGCACGATATCTGGATCCTAGTGGTACATGACATCTGAGTGCATCGTGGCTGTCTTCGCACGTTAGGAGACGATGAAGCCCGCTGTTTGGTTCGGCGAGGTGTAGAAATTATACTCAGCTGTAAAGCTGAAGCCTCGTTAATAGATTGAATACCCGTCAAGAATCGTTTGTGTATTATGAGGTTCCAGGGTTCTGTTAGTGTTCGGAAGGGTGGAAATAACAAAGGCGCCTGTTAATAATAGCGGCATATGCACCTCTCTCTGCAGTCTTGATTCACAAAAAGACGAATTTTATGACAAACTCACAGAGCTCGTTCGATTGAAGGCACGAGACAGCTGTTATGTGCTGTTTTAAATCAGGTAATAGGTGCATCGAAGGGGTCAGTGAATTTGGGTCACAGTGCAGTGCGTACAAAAGTTATTGCAAACTGCACGAAACCTACATTTGAGGACGATGAAATCACTACCGTGGATAATCGACAGACATATTGATGATCAAGTTACGTACTTTAGAAGTTTCACTAACTATGCGTGTGAGTGGAACAATATGATATTGTGAGACTAGCATTTCAACCGCAACGTTTCTAATGGGCTCATGTACCACATGCATGGCTTGTGTAAGACAGCTGGTGATTCTCGAAGGAAATCATGCACCAAACCCGCTAATTAGTTTCTTCTCCCGGCGATTCCAGATAAACGATTTTGAACCGTGTCCACTGGAGCACGTGGTCGACCGCCATGTATTACGCTGGTTGGGACATGTGTTGCGCATGTCACCAAATAGGTTGCCAGGGCCCGCAATGTTTGCTGAGGCAGGCAGATAATGGAAAAGGGTCAAAGGCGGTCAGGCTAATACCTGGCATGGCGGTATGCAAACTCTAACCAGAAGACTGGGTCATTGGATATCCTTAGGATTCGTGAGTGGGGAACCTGTGATCATGGTAACCGGTGGTTAGGAACACTGAGTGATGTGTGTAGGCGTCGCAAACAGTAGCGCTCATGCATCTACTCAATATTTGTGCAACCCCAGTCTATGTGAGTTGTCTATCTTCCCCTTGACTTTGCTCTTTTATTCAAATTGAGGGCCAAAAAGCAGCAACCAAAACCGGTACACGAAAATGTTTGGTTAATGGTTGTAAAAACAAACTGAAAAACAACCATGATGTCGCAACATTGCAGGGCTTATGTACATGGGGCCTACCTCAACGGATCATCTTGGCCATCCCAGGGAAAATATCTGTGGTCTTTTGATGAGGCGCTTCGTGCTCCCGGGAAGGTGTTTCAATTATCCTTCTCTATATACCCAAACAGTCCGGAACCCGATTGGGGTGTTTTAATCAAGAACATTAAGGATAGTTGTGTTCCCTTACCTTTTGGATGTTTTCATTTTCCTTGGGTAGAGTTTGTATTTCGCAGTCCCAGCGGCAAATTTTCTTAGATGAATCAGATTTACCAAGCACTAATCTATGTACGCTTGGTTTCTCTCTACGGTTGTGAGTTGTTCTGTTTACGGGGAACTGCCGAAAATGTGCTCTATCTTGTTATTCGTCGCTCGGTTTCATTTGCTCGCAGTTTTTAGATCTTGGTTATTATCTTGATTACGGAATAATCATTTGGTTGCACTAGTTTGTTTACCTTACTTTGAGTTACTCGGAATTTAAACCTAAAAGACTGCGTTGATTCCTACTGCTGAACCTAAAAGTATACTATATATTTCCATCTGTAGAACCTTCGGTTTCTAATGTGAACACACCCATGTAGACTGATTGAATGTATTTTATGATTGACTTTTTAAACCGTTGTGTATAACTGTCTACGGAGATTTTCGAAGTCTTGTGTTTATCATCTCTGATGTAATTACCTTTATTTTTCTTACCCCTCAAAATCCATTGTTTGCGTCGTGACCTAACGCTCTCTCATGGAAATGTGGCGATTCGCCAGATTTCATGGGTCGTGTGTGATCGGTGCGCGGTTTGCATGCCTCACTGAAGTAAGTTTATGTCAAGTGTTCTTGTTTGTATGGCGAAACATGTTTGTCTATCCATCTATCAGTGTCATAGTTGGTACCAATCTCTCTGCTGATCACGTGATCACGAGGTATGGGACGACAAGGTCGATTTGTCTCATCGCACTGCCTTTTTTGTTAACTTGATTTTTCCCACTTATCGCATCCCATTTGATCCACGATAAACATTAAGCTACATGTGGCGGCAGGATTTCGCAATACTGCAAGCCAGACGATTTTACACATAGAACCTTCAAATTGCCCTTAGATATGGGATATAAGCTAATGAGTCCAGTTCATTTCAGTTCACCGTACTAATAAACTTTTCACTCTTCCCTTAAGGGAGAAACGGATGTCGTGGCGGCGCTACAGTTGTCGCAGTTTGGTGAAAGCTGCCCTAGTTTTCGCCACTCGTGATGTGATTTCCTTCCCAACACCTGCGATCATACTCCCGAGGTACCTAAAGCTGTCAACTGTTTCCAGCTGATCGCCACAGAGAGTGAACGCAGGCACAAGCCCCTGCCAGTCTTGAATAAGCACTTTGCACTTTGATGGTGCAAAGTACATAACATACCTGAATACCTCTATCGCCGATCGGTTCAAGGCGTGTCGGACTGTCTGTGTATTGTCACCCAACAAGGCAATGTGTTCTAAGTCAAACACTGTTCCCTGGGAAGAGTTCAACTTCACTGTTTGCTATGCCGGGCAAAGCATTCTGTAAAACATCTTTGACAGATTTGAAAAAGAAGGACCAGCCTTGTCGAATTCCACTGGAGACGGCGAAGGGTGGCGGAAGCTCGCCATAGGCCCTAACCCGACCTGAGGTCTGATGATACAACTCTTTGAGGATCCAAACATACTTCTCTGGTGCTCCATTCCTCAGTACCAGTTCCATAGTGCGGTCCTATCGACAGAGTCGAAGGTCGTGCGGATGTCTAAGAACACAATGGCTGTTGGCTTTTGATAGACACGACGGTGCTCTAGCAGCTGTTGGAGGATGAATATCTGATCGATGCATCCGCGACCGGCGCGAAACCCAGCTTGCTTCTCACGCATAGTGTGCAGTCGGCGGAGAATGGTGGACACCACTAGCTTTGACGCTATTGGGATAAGGCTTATACATCTATGATTGGCGCAGACACTGAGCGAGCTTTTAAATATGGGAACTACAGTCGATTCTCCCCACGAGAGGAAGGAACCTACAATGTGTGCCAGACTTTAGAGAACAGAGTCACTAATTCTGTAACAGGCTTTATTCCACTAACTTTCATAGATCCTGGGGGAAGGCCATCAGAACCGGGCGCTTTGTGACGTCCCAAGGCTTGGATTTCCTTATGGATTTCCGCCTCAGAAGGTGGGTCTGTTGAGACAGACCATGGGACCTGCGCTGGAACAGTTGTCTGAGAAAATGACCTGTTGGCCAGCTAAATTTGGCTTTGATGTGCTTCGCCCAGCGTGTAAAGCGTCGCGTTGATTATGAATGAGCGACCCGTCAGCTTCGTAGGTCTTTTTTGATCACACCCAATGCTTTCTTATCGATGCCCCGGATGAGGTGGAACAGCCCACGGGAATTTCGCCTACCAGCAGTACGTTCCATCTCTGACGTACTTTGAGTCCACCAGATCTCGCGGTCTCTGCGTACGCTTTCCTTAAGTTAAGGTATCGTCACAAGTCGTGTTACGTTATGCTCGCTGTCGGTCGAAATTGATTGGCGTGCCTCAAGAAGGCATAGAGATTCCGCAGCAATCCAGGGTGTCAGGATACGACGTGTCAGACCATAACTAAGCCATCAGCATGCAGAGAATTCTTGATAACCGACCAGTGGTGATTAGTGTTATTGGTTGGGGTTGGTCCTAGCTTTTCAACTAGCGCTTTTTGAAGTCAGAGAAGCTCGTTTGGACAGCTTATTACAGTT